TTCTCCCCCTCCTTCCACCTCCGCGCTGGGGCTGTGATTCAGTTCCCCTCCCCCAGCCCACCCCCTCTGTTCGGAGGCTGACAGCCTGAGCTGCAGCCTGCTAGAGCCCCGGAGCCGTTTTCCAAGCCGTGGAAGAGAGACCCAGGGATTTTTTTGCAGCTCCCCAGCGCCTGCTGCGTCCCAGGTCGGACGTGCACAGACATGGAGAGCGTCAGCCTCCAGCGACCCGCCTGCAAATGGCAAGTACTGAGTTTGTTTTTGCTCTGCGGCTGGGGCTGCGTCTGCGGGCAGATCCGCTACTCGGTGGTTGAGGAGTCGGAGGTGGGAACTGTGGTGGGGAACGTGGCCTGGGACCTGGGCTTGAAGCTGGAGGAGCTGCCGGGTCGCAGGCTGCGCCTGGGCTCAGAGGAGAGCCTGCGCCACTTTGCCGTGCACCTGGACAGCGGCACACTGGTAGTGAGCCAGCAGCTGGACCGGGAGCGTCTGTGCGGAGCGGCTGCCAGCTGTGTGCTGTCGGTGCAGGTGGTAACAGAGAACCCCCTGCAGCTCTTCCGCCTGGAAGTGGAGATCCTGGACCTGAATGACAACTCTCCGAGCTTCCCCACTGCTCACCGCACCCTGCGCATCGCCGAGTCTGCCACAGTGGCTGCGCGCTTCCCCCTGGAGAGCGCGCAGGACCCCGATGTGGGCACCAATGCCGTGGGCTCCTACCAGCTGAGCCCCAACTCCCACTTCTCCCTGGACGTCAAGCAGCAGCAGGATGGCAAGCTCTTCCCGGAGCTGGTGCTGGAGCATGCCCTGGACCGGGAAGAGCAGCCAGAACTGCAGCTGGTGCTGACGGCCGTGGATGGGGGAAGCCCAGCCCGCTCGGGCACAGCACAGATAACGGTCCTGGTCCTGGATGTCAATGACAACGTGCCCACCTTTGACCGCGCCACGTACAAGGTGCAAGTCCCGGAAAACTCACCCGTGGGGGCCCTGCTCCTCCGGCTCAATGCATCTGACCCTGATGAGGGCCCCAATGGGGAGACGCAGTACTCCTTCGGGGTTCACACCTCCGACTCGGTCCGAAGGCACTTTGCCCTGGATCCCCGCAGTGGCGAGGTCCGGGTGAGTGGGGCCTTGGACTTCGAGGAATCATCTTTCTATGAGATCTACGTGCGAGCCCATGACAGAGGGGTCCCAGAGATGGAGGGCCACTGCATACTGCAGGTGGAAGTGGAGGACGCCAATGACAACCCCCCAGAGGTGCTGCTCACCTCCCTGCTGAATCCAGTGCCAGAAGACACTCCACCAGAGACTGTTGTGGGGCTTTTCAATGTACGGGATCGAGACTCAGGGACCAATGGGGATGTGAGCTTGGAGATCTCCCCCGATGTGCCTTTCACCATCAGGTCCCTTCAGAACCACTTCTCCCTGGTCACCCGGGAGAGCCTGGACCGAGAGTCCACCTCACAGTACGTAGTAGAACTGATTGCCCAGGATGGCGGGTCTCCCGCCCTCACCATGACACTCACGCTGCTCCTCAACATATCTGACGTGAATGACAACCCCCCACACTTCTTGCAACCCTTCTACGATGCCTTCCTCCCGGAGAACAACCCACCTGGCTCCCTGCTGTGCACTGTCTCTGCCTCGGATCCCGATGATGGGGATAATTCCCGTCTTGTTTACTCCATAGAGAGTGGCCAAGTGCAGGGTGCCCCCACCTCTTCCTTCGTCCACATCAACCCTGACAATGGCAACCTCTATGCTCAGCGCACCTTTGACTTTGAGCTGCTGCAGGTTCTGCCAGTCTCTGTGGCTGTGCGGGACTCGGGGTCCCCTCCGCTCCATGCCAACGTTACTGTCTACATCTTCGTGCTGGACCAGAATGACCACCCCCCCACCATCCTGCAACCTGCCAGTGACAGTGACATCCTGGCACCCCAGAGAGTCCCGCTGTCTGCCCCACCGGGCTACCTGGTCACCAAGGTGACAGCAGTGGATGCAGATGCTGGGCACAATGCCTGGCTCTCATACCGACTGCTGCCGCAGTCCACCGACCCCTCCTTGTTTCACGTGTCGCTGTACACTGGGGAGGTGCGGACGGCGCGTGCCCTCCAGGACACCGACGTGGCAGCGCAGCAGCTCATTGTCCAGGTGACGGACAATGGCAACCCACCGCTCTCCACCACTGTCACCATCACCGTGGCCCTGGAGGAGGGAGCCCTGGAGGAGACCTACAAGCCTCGGGATTTCCTGGCTAGTGTCAAGGAGAAGCCGGACCTGACCCTCTACCTGATTATCGCGCTGGCAGCCGTTAGCACTGTGGCGCTCGCCACCGTCACCCTCCTGGCTGCTCGGTGCCTCTGGCGCAGAGGCCGTGCCGCCGACTCGCCCTGCTGCTGCTGCTGGCTCAGTGAGTCACCCTCCCGGGACTTCTTCAAGCACTCCAGCCCCAAGCTCCAGCTCAGCTCCGACGGCACCCTTAAGTACATGGAGGTCACCCTGAGACCCACCGACTCCCAGTCCCAGTGCTACAGCACCTGCTTCTCCCCCGGCTCCGACCGGAGCGACTTCACCTTCCTGCGGCCTTGCCCGCCCCCCGCGACCCTACCGAGGGAAACCGGGGCTTTCCTCCCCGCTACCGGTACGCTGCGGGACCCCGGCCAGGTGAGAGCCTAGGGGCAGGGGAAGGCGGTGCCGGCGCGGGGTTCGCCGGGCGGCCGGGCCGCG